GCCTCCCTGGAGCGCCGCGGGGAGGGGCACCTCCGTCATCGCGTGAGCTTGACCGTGACCTGCATTCTGGGGTTGAGCCAGCCCGGCATCCAGACACACTCCAGACCCCTCCACTCCCACCGAGTAACGCGCCCTCAGCCCGGCCCTTGCTGCTCCCCTCCCCGTGTCCCGTGACCCCTCTCCATCCATTGACTCCGTCTTCCTTTTCTCCCGCCTCGTCCCCTCTCCGCGAGCTCTTGCTTCTTTCTCCTCTCCCATCACCACCACCGTCATCTCTCGTCTGTGCTCCGGTACAGCTTCAATCGCCTCAATCCCCCTCGCCTGATTTCCCAGGACCGCATTCAGTCTCCGGGCTTCTCTGTCTCGTGACATACTACCTCTACGTCTCCCACGCTCGCAACCCACACTTGCACTTCCCCTCCCCCTCCTCTCTCGAGTCGGCAAGATGGCTGCAAACAAGACGTCCGCCGTTGCGGACGAACCCGTTGATGTCCTCTTCGCCCTGCACCCCAAGTTCGACATGCTCGACTTTGCTGGCCCATTGGAGGTGCTCACGACGGCCTGCCACGACTTCAAAGACCAGTGTACGTGCTACCCCGCGGTCCTCGCTGCCGCCGCCATTGGTTAGCCTGCCCCGGGCGGTCAAACCTTACTGACCGCGCTGCAGCATCCAAGGCTTTCGAAGTCACCATCGCCGGCTCCGAGCCCAAGGTCCTTTCCGAGCAGGGCGTCCTCGTCGGCTCTCAGATCTCCTTCAAGGAGGCCCACGACCGCCTCGAGGAGTTTGACATTCTCGTCATCCTCGGCGGCAACTCGCAGGAGGTCCTGGACAAGGAGGCCGAGCCTCTCGGTCTCATCAACGACTTTGCCGAGCTTCAGAAAAAGGACCCTGCCCGCGAGCGTACAGTCCTCTCGGTCTGCACCGGCTCGCTCTTCCTTGCCCGCGAGAATATCCTCTCGGGCTTGTCGGCCACGACCCACCCCGACTACATGACCAAGTTTGAGATCCTCTGCAGCGAGGCTGCCACCCGCAACCTCACTGAGCGTACCGACGTCATTGAGGACGCCAGATACGTGGTCAACAACCTTCGCTTTGACCTCGGCGACGAGGACGAGAACCCGTATATCCGCCGCAAGTCCGACGCTGGACGCCGACCCTCCAACGCTCGGTAAGTGGACCTCGAGCCTGCCAAGTTCCAACACGCGGGGAAGCACACCGGTTACTGACCCACTCGCTCAACAGCAAGGGAAGCATGTCGTGGAAGGGATCCAACACGCGCCGCGAGTCCATTGCCCGCCGCGCGGCCATGCGTCTCGGTGGCCTGCGGGTCATCACTGCTGGGGGAAACAGCGCGGGCGTGGACGCGGCCCTCTATCTTGTTAGTGTCATGGTTGATGAGGAATGCGCGGTGGAGGTTGCCAGGATCATGCAGTGGACCTGGAACAAGGGCGTCGTCGTCGATGGCCTCGACGTTTAGACCGCTCATGCCTGGCAGGACGTGCCAGGCGGCGTTTGGCGGCGTCCCACACCCTATCTTGGGCCGGACCTGGTGGCCACAGGCCTGCCGCCCAGCCACTGTATGACTATACATCTTAGGCCACGGCCGTATTTCAGAGCCCGCTCAATGAATCAATGTGTTAATCGTTATTATGACTTGATTGTGTCCGCCCGCGAGCCTGTTGTGATGCATGCCATCCCGTGGTCTGCCCCAGTGGCCCAGATCCTGTCGCAGTTCCAATACATTTCGTTTAGTCCTGCGTCTCGTCGTGGGCACCATGATGCATTGATTCGTTGCGGAGCATGATGGACGCGTGAAGAGATGCTCGGGAAGAGTTTTGCCCCATGAGCGGTCAATTCAAATGTGGCCCGCTGTTGCACCGCACAGTACGAACTTTTTGTGACCATTGACCTTGTCCATTCTATCACATGGCATGGGACCCAATACGCCGTGTTCAATGTCCCAAAAGTGTAGCCATAATCCGACTCAATCTCGGAAGTCGGGACCCGATCGCCTTCGTCCGTGCAATGCGACCCCTAGTTGACCACCCTCAACCACTCAATGACGCCCTCGTCTTGAAAATAGTTCGTGTCGCTGACTTGGAATCCCAGCCTACTGAGGACCTGCTTGCTCCTGCTGTTGGCCTTGTGCGTGTCGGCGATGAAGCGACGCGCTCCATGCTCCTCCACAGCCCACGCCATGACCACCTCGGCGGCACGAGTTGCGAAGCCACGGCCGCGAAACGCCGAGTCCAACCCGTAGCGCAGTTCAATCATTTCTTGCCAATGGGGGAGCGCCTCGCCGTTGGAGTCGAGGCCTCCGTTTGCGTACAACTCGGCGGCGCTGGTGGTCGTTGCGTCGCGGACGCAGGTGTAGCCCGCCCATTCAATCCGGGCAAATAATTGCGATAGGGACTCGAACTGCTGTCCTTCGACGATGCATATGTCCACTTTTGAGTCTTTTAGCTGCCGTGATTGAGCCGGGTCGAATGCCGACTTGACGTCGTCGTCCTCGGGAAGGACTCCGAGCGCGAAGTCGCCCATGCCCCGTACGCCCCATCGCAGCGCGGCGTCGCGCTTCAGCAAGAACTCGTGAACCTCATCGTCGCTCCAGACCACCGGCTGAAACAGCTCCCCAAAAGCGATAAGGCAAAAGGCTGGGTCGGCGTGGAGCTTGCGGAAGAGGGTGCGGTAAGGGCGGACATGCGCGGCGGACGGTGTCGGCAGGAAGACCAGCCCGTCGGCGACGAGGGCGAAAGGATGGTACGGTGTTGAAAGGGGCATTGTGTCGTTGGCTGTGTGTTTTCGGGAGGCCGTTGTACTGACACTTTTTTCGGTCTGGGGATGAGCAACTTTGGCAGGAGCGATCCATGGATCGCATGTGCAGGCCATCCCCAATAAAGGCATGATAAAAATAGTGGCTCGCTCGGGAATACCCGCCGGATGACTCAATCTCGACGTACAAACTAGCTTGCTCAAAGACCACGGTCTTCGTGGATACCACAGATGCGCACCGCTGGGGTTTCTGGCTCTCGCCGGAGAGACGCGAGCCCGATGACAGATTATAGGGCTGCGTGGGTAAAAAACCGGGAAACAATTCACACGTAGCTACCCTGTGGCCCAAGGCCAATTGTATTGGTCACGGGCCTGTAGTGGGAGAAGAGCCCTGACATGTCAGCGATGGAGAGACAATTACGGTATGTCAAGCACGGAGGGCGGGAGTGGATGCTCTGGCCCAACCGAGATCACGAGTGTTCATAGCAGTGTTGCCTGTGCGAGGTGTTGTTCAAGTGGTGATACGAATAATGTCATGTCAAGCGATGGAGATTCTTGTACGTGTCATGGCATTGAACGGCATGGTGGCAACCTAGACATGAATGAAATCACTCGGCCGCACCGACCATACAAAAATATCGCACTCCATGCCTGGCCTTGTGGTGAATGAGTGACGTCTGTGTTGAGTATTGACACATCGAGGTGTCGAGCTTCATGCATCAACCACCCATCCTGTGCTGAAGGAAATTAGCGCCGGGCCGCTCCAAGCCATCGACCATTCCAGGAGAAGCTGGTGTTATGTAATCAGTGTGCTGGCCAATCTCGTCCCGCGTGTGAAGCCAAAAATGCATCGCCTCTCCACATGGTGGCCCCCAACGGCGTCTTGAGGGTTATAGAGGACATTAAGGACCTCCACAAGCACAGATCTCATTGGCTTCATGGTCTAGTGGTATGATTCCTGCTTCGGGCACAAAACCGGAGTCCTCGGTTCATTAGAATCGGCTTGCAGGAGGCCCCGGGTTCGAACCCCGGTGAAGCCCTATCTGGGTTGCTTCATTCATTCCCTCAATGATGCAGACAATGTTTTTTTTGCACCTCATGCAATTGTTGCAACATCTGATGTATCTTTTTACCAGGCTGGCAAATGATCGACCAAGTTCCCCTTTTTGACTGATTTCGTGGATACGTAATATAAGCATGATGATCTGATCAAATAGACACAAGCTTCTATCATTGCCCACAATACGCCAGTAGCCATCCGAGAGGCACGAGAGGCACGAGAGGCACGAGAGGCACGAGAGGCACGAGAGGCACGAGAGGCACGAGAGAGACGAGAGAGACGAGAGAGATAAGAGGCCTTAGCGCTATATATACTATCTTTACCTCTCGTGCCTCTCGTGCCTCTCGTGCCTCTCGTGCCTCTCATGCGTGCCTCTCATGCCTCTCGTGCCTCTCGTGCCTCTCGTGCCTCTCGTGCCTCTCGTGCCTCTCGTGCCTCTCGTTCTCGTCCATGCCGATAGTAAAGGGATGGTCTGCTACTGCTAGAGAGGACGATGCACTAATAAGCGACGGCGATGTCTAGAAGGACTATTACTGCCGGGAAGGAGAAATTGCGCCTCAGGGAGAATTAATTCAGCACGCAAATGACACGTCTATGAGCTATTTGCTGATGCTAATATCGTAGTGAGAGCCGCCATATGGTGTTCAAGTTAAAGCGTGCAGCACGGTATACGCGCACGCAAACCCAGATTCAGGGGAGAAGCAAGACAGTGGAGTGACTACACGGCACGGAGAACTTACAGGTCGTCTAGGACGCTGCTTTTCAGTTCATTGCAAAGACATTCAGATAAGATATCGCTTCGATCGCGTCCGGGAGAAAGGGGCGGCAATGTAGAGCTGCAGACAGTCAAAGCCACAGTTCAATTTCCAGGAAGGCCGAGGCAAGCTGCTTCACCGTGCTTGAGGTGGATATGGTAACACGCCCAACTTGGGAACGTTTCTACAAACCTTAGGCCCCGGAGAAACCGTTTCAGATTCAGGTCTCCTTAATTGCCCTTCTCATTGCACGCGCCGTTGTTCGCACGCACAAATGTGAAGCCAAGTGCCCCGCAGCTGTGGCCAGGTGCCTGCCGGTCCGCCGTCCATTACATCACTTTGTCGGTCATTGCCCAACAGCCAACCACTTCGACAACTCCCCCGTGGACCGTCTGAATCAGGGCCACTAGACCAAGTGGGTGCAGCGCCTCCAGACACCCCCGGAGGCTACCACTGCGAGAACAACCTAGCTCCATCATCATCATCATCATCATCATCACAGCAGACACGAAGGGGTTCTCGATCGCATCAGCCTTGTGTCTTTGAACTCTGTGTCAGTCACTCCGTCATCTGCCTTCCTGCGCAAGGCTCACTTATCGTCGAGCATTGCTAACCTGATCGAGTAGCTCCCAAGCCACCCATCGAGTTCGAACGTAACAATGGTTTCGGCCATCAACACGTCGCGGAGCGGCTCAGGCCGCTCCGCGTGCTCTCTCTCTTGTCCAACGATAACCTCAGACCACCCATACGACGCGGCGTTATGCTGAAATGCGAACATCGTCGCTTGGTTAAAGGCACTAACAAAAGCGTCGGCCATGATTACGCTTGACAATAGTGGAGCAATCGCACACCAGTCAAAGTGCAAAGCCCAGTCTTCGGCGGCGCTGCTTCCTCCGATCGCCTTATCTCTGGATGAGAACTACTATTTACCCACGCGCATATCTCTATTTGCCCACGCCGCGTACAGTATACAAGCCCATCGCCGGGCCGCCGCAGCCCAGTAGCCCGTGTTGCCTTCAATTACTGCTACAGCCGCGTAGCCCGCGATGCCTTCAATTGCCCGCGCAGCCTAGCAGCCCAGCAGCCAAGCAGCGTAGTAGCGCAGCAGCCCGCGGCCCGCGGTAGCCTCAATTGCTATGTAGCGCAGTAGCGCAGCAGCCCGCGATGCCTTCAATTGCTGCTAGCCCGCTGCGGTGCTAGCCTGTTAGCCTGCTGGGTTGCTAGCCTGCTGGGTTACTGGCCTGCTGGGTTGCTGGGTTGCTGCGACCGCGGATGTAAGCCGTGTGACTATGACTGTATGGAGCTCCGGTTTGTATGGGCGGGCGTGGGCAAATAGAGATATGCGCGTGGGTAAATAGTAGTTCTCGTACTCATACTAGCATTCGTTGTTTACTCTGTTGGCTGCCAGCTACTTTGTTGGAGGAAGACATGAACTGAATCAACCAAGAGATAATTTTGATCAAGTGATGCCTCTGTGTGAGTTGCTGGAAGATGCGTTGCCCGAGGGTTGCGCGCGGTGTGGTGCGGGTCAGGGGAGGATGGTGACAACACTTAACGACGTCCCTGCAGCGAGAGCGGCTCTCGAGACGAGATATAGATTGCCTCAGAGCTGTTGCTGCGGTCAAATGGTTTGCGTGATGGCAACTGTCAAACCTGCCCCCCTTGTACAGCTGCAAAACGATCAAGGTAACAAGAACGGCGTTTCTATCATGGCACGAGGCATCCCGACCAAGGCAGAGAGGATGGGGCAAAAATTGGAATTCGGGGGCAAATTCTATAGAGACGTGACGAAATATTTAATTCATGAAAGAGTACTGTCCTATTGATATTGATATGTACCTCGTCTATCTCGCTTTTAATGCTTTTTGCCCCAGGCGCTTTTTGTCCCACATTTAGACCCTACTCCAGATCCGAGTCCTCCTTCTCCCAAAGAGCTATTGCTTGTTAAGATTCTCCGTGATACAAGCAAGGAACTTCTCTGATGTTGCCTCCGGCTGCCCATTTTCTTGGAGAGCGACTTCCCTGCAATGATTATAGAGAAGACCGCACGCTACCCGCAGCTTGTTCGCCGTGAAGCATTCGCGGGGCAGCCCTGGCATCCCCATAGCACTTTTGCCGGCTGAAGCTCGTTGCTCTGTGGATAGCGTGTCGCCAGTGGTGGCCTTTGCGCCGGGTTCGTCCGTGACTCCCTCTAGGAATTGGGCGCCTTCTGTCTCCGGCACCTTCACTGGAGTGGCGATGGCTAGACCTTGGATCAAAGTGGAAATGGCAATCGAAGCCTTCATGGCTTGTTTTGATACAGGTGTTGGCTATGGTGGGAAGTGAATGAGACTGTGTGACCTGCGTGAAACATGTGCAAGCTGAGTGACACTACCGGATCATCAGACTACGAGGCATCTAGAAGAGGGTCTCGACTGTATATTATGCAGGAAGAACGTGAAGGCGTAGTCGAAAATTGGTAGAGTTGTTGACATGAAGGCTCATCTAGCCGAGATGATGTTCGTTAATGCCAACTCAGTCTTGGCTCGAGACAAGGTATCATCCGAACGTTGGAACATTATGCGTAAGCGCGGACAACGCCGAGAAATGAGACTCGGTGCAACCGCTGAACAGAGACCGGCTGGGTCGGAACTCTGCTAGCGAGAAGTGCGTTGCTGGGGGTCTTGAGGTGGAGAAGGAAGAATTGGGACGTGCTCGGTGCAGAAATGCGGCGACGGCCGATGCCGACCAGGGCAGTAGAGAGGGGACGAAGCTTTCGGAACGGGTACGTAATTTGGTGAAGAGGACCGGACGATTAGGCTTCATTGAAACGGCCGAATGGGCCTCTACTTGGTAAAGGGCTCCTCAGGGATAAGCTGGCGGGCCGATCTTGGCTGCGACAGTATAGATAGCGATAAAGGTCCGACACTACCTATTTTTCTGGTACATTTATCGGGCTTCTAATGGTGCACTCACCTCGTAAATAAGCTGATAGCTGGATTGTAAAGGCGGGTTGGATCTGCTTGCGGCGTAGCTACGAGCAGGGGTCATCGCCACGCTGAATTGGCCTGGCCTAAAATTAACCTTTCAGTGTGTCCGTAATGAAAATACGTATCACGTCTGGCGGTGACGTAAGGGAGCACTGACAATGTGTTACTGAACTAGCAGATATTGCCACGGTTGTGTCAAGATTGAAGCGTGCAGGTCCAAGCTCAAGAGATGCTGGCGCGGCGGGACCCACGAAGTATTACCCGGCGCCCCAGAGCTGTCATGTCGATGCTCCGTTGAGCCTTTTGGGTCAGCTTGAGCCGGTACAGCGTGCCTGCTTTGTGAAAGGTCTAGGATAATGATATTTGCCTTTCTATACGGAGTATTGGATACGTAAAAGCTTGAGGGGTGATCTGGTGGCAGATCTTGGGCTAATCCCGAGAAGCCTACTGCCCGCCGACAGTTGGCCTACTGTATCTTCACCAGAGCGGCTGCGAAGTATGTAGTCCCACGACCCGAAGGCCAGGCCAGGCGCAAAGGCCAGGCGTGGAGGGGTCCGTGGCGTTCCAGACGGTAAATCGGGAGTACGGTATATAAATCGGCAACATCTCCTCCTCTTCTCACGCTGATCTGTCTGCTTTCACACAAAAAAAGAGCTCTATCCGAAAACAATGCAGCCAATCCTTCCCCTCCAACTCATCGGGCTCTTCGCGGCCGTGGTGGTCGGCACGATGTGTGAGCAGTCGGACCACTGCATGCAATCGGACTGTGGCATCTGCACGGAACTGGGCGACACGGTGGACCAGGGCAAGCCAGGCGTGAGTTGCTGGCCCTGACTCTCGCACCTCTCGTTCCTTTCTAACGAACACCGGTTCATAGTTCTGCCGCACCACCAAACTCGGACATACGTGCGCCTACATTGATAAGCCGTTCAGTGACAGGGCCAAGTACCCATCGAACCATCGCGTTTGGAAGACCGCGAAGTTCACGCTCTGCGACGCACAGACTCCGGTAAGTGTTGAATTGCGCTCTTTGTGCCGGACCCAGCCGTTGGGTGAGGAAAGGAGGGTGCTCTCAACAGAATGAAGCGGAACATGGGATAAGGTTGATGGCTGACCACTATGCACCTCGTTTCATGCTTGCAGTGTCGAGGTCAGGACCACAGATGTGTTATTCTGCCAGGCCGGAGTAACGCCAATTGCTTCTGATACAGGGCCATCCCAAGGGTGAACCTTGGGCTCGACGAAAGTCAGCCAGTCGGCTCTGCTCGTCAGGGATAGCACAGACTGTGCTCTTGGGCAGGATTGCAAGTCTGAGAATTGTCTAGACATGCCACTTGGATGACACGCAGAGGGATGCCTCAAATCACATTGTCAGCTCCATCCTGCACTTGTCTGAGCACGAGGAGCTCTGACTGGCCTGCTTGGCCCGCTAGTTGCGCGGCATGCACAGGAGGCAGAATGAAAAGGCTGTACGTGCTCATGTCCTGGATAGACGATAGTTGGCGGCAAAAGGTTTCGTGTTGGACCGTACTAAGCTTGGAAACTGCTTTCCACCGACCGTCAAGTCTCTCCCTACCATAACACTCCAGACAGTGGTGCACCGACGAACTTCCCAAGTCTCTTCTCAAGTAGGCCAGCAGGAGCACCTCGAGCACTTCGACGTTCGAAGACTAGGCGGATCGCAAGTGTATAAGCCCGTGTTATCGCATCGACAGCCACCATTAAGCTGGCCGATCATGCACTGTTCATCCGTGCTTGAACCGTCGGTGCACCTCAGCATGTACATGCGAGCAGCGGTGTGCTCAATCAGAGTCAGAGCGAAGATGGCGAGCCGCAGTGGCTGCATTTTAAAATATCTGAAATCGAGTAGAATACTGAGACAGGTTTCGTGGTGATCTTGCGCCTGTCTTTGTGTCTTTGCGTCAGATTCCGTGACGTATTTGGGGTGATTGCCATGGCTTTATAGGGAGCTCATGAGAATTATAAGGAATTTATCAGCCGTGGCAAATCACACGGAAACTCTGGAAGGAGATATTTACTATGCCGGTCCCAGGTACTGTGTTGTATGAACCATGTTAGCTCCATTGAGCCTGTCAGGTGGCACTTTGAAGCTGGATATGGCAGGAAAACGTGGGCAAGTGCTATGCGCACGGCTTCGTATGGGATCACAAGTATAGGTGCTATTTAGCGTGGAGCATTATATGTTTCATATCCAGACGGAGATGATCATGAGTGCCTTCACACTATTCCCTCATATCGCGGATCTATTGGCGATCTGGGTACGTGCTTCCGCTACCGGACAGACTTCACCCTCCAGCGATTATGAGTGGGCCTCAGACGGCCGCTTACGAGTGAGCTTGACGAGAGATCACGGCACCAGTAGTCGTCTACAGGGGATAATTGGCC